AGTAGTGCATCGGGTACCCGAGCACCCGACCGCTGATGTCAGGAACCGGTTCCAGATTATGGGATCGGGTACCCGTAACCAACCTTACAAATTACTAAGTAACTTCTCAGACAATGAAAAAGAAAGGTTTTGAATGCCATTTGTCGGGAATTTTCAAATGAAAACCAGGCTACCAGTACATATGGAAAAGCAATACAGATTTCACATTTATGTGCATTTAACATACGACAGATGATGTTCGCGAAAGTTGCAGTTTATACCGTAATGCCATATAAAGCCCTTCAGACAACTTCCGGGATTTGAATTTTGGGGTTGGGTTTCTTTTACGGGTACCTGGGTACCCGCGTTTTACTTCAGTAGGGTACCTGGTTCCCGTACTACCTGTAAACTGTAAATGCACACCACTAGAATGAAAGTTCAAAGTCATATTTGGGGAAAATTCATCGACACTGAATACGGTACATTTTTGAAAGTTGGGAGAATGCACCAATTATGTGTATGAAAATTCCATTGTAGTGCGTCAGGTGTGTCAAACCATTGTACATTCCTTGCAACAGAAAAAAACATCTTGTTTACTTAAAAATATGTCTGGTATCTCTAATGAATGTTCAGGCATGTACAGTATTATGCGGGCTACACTGTACATAAATATGGCTCAATTCTTATTATGGCTGCATGTTCACTAGTGCATAGTAACAGAACATTTATTTTTATGATTTGTATGAATTGGTTGCCGAACCGGATATTCATTCATAGTCAGTCACTCTGTTTCCTGATTTGTGGGGTGTATGTTGCTGTTTTCTTCCTGCTGCAAGTGTTTGGTTGTCACTCCCACTTGAAAAGTTGGAGATGTCACCATGGAGGATTCCTACCTCCATGATGTCACCAACTAGTCAATTCAAAGTTTGTTCACATCCCCGAATGACATGGCTTTTAAAGTCATGTTATATTTTTTAAGACTTGTATGCACCTGTATCAAATGGGGATTTACAGGTCTGTTAAACTTAAAGCACGGTCAGAAGTATTTTAGTCAGTACACATAAGGTGCCTCACAGGACCAGTTATGAGCAAGTTGTGCTTTATGATATCCGCGGCTCATGGTTACCAGTGATGCAACCCTGCCCCGTGCTCTGGTTCTCGACGAGAGTCATCCAGCCATCCCTCGTTCGAGTAAAGTTAGTCCAACTATGGTTAACAATATTGTTCGCGCCCGAACATGCTCTAGGCTGTGGTTTATATGATTTCAAACTTTCTTAAATATTTGAAACACCCTTAGACAAATATTATGTTAAGCAATTGTTTAGAATGCATTGATACTTTTAATAATATAACCAAATATATGGATGTAACATGCACTGCTTCCCAACCCGATGGAATGACCCATGTACAACATGTAAGCGGTATACTTCTGTACTCCTACATTCAGTACAGTACACCATAAATGAAACCAAGTCAACACTCACACGTAACCAATGCACGTCACTCTTGTGCAACATTTTCCAACATCAGGAAGTGGGACGGGATTTCTGTGACTGAGCAATATGCATTGACTCATGGTTAAACTAGGGGAAAATAGTAAACAGGGAAATTCCCTTCCACATGAGGACAGACGCCAGTGGTATTTCCCTGTGTAACGCGGTCACCGTTAGTATGAGATCAGCTTTCTAAACTTAACCCATTCATTGTCATCGGCCGTTCCGGGTAGAGCTGCTGGAGTAGTTCCTGTTCATTCACGATCAGTACTATAGACGTGTGTGTGCAGTTTGGACGGACTATATGCCAGTGTTGCCTTGTGATTGATTTATTACTGCATTTTAGTGTTTCTATCTTATTTTGGGTGAGTTTTTGTTAGATATTGTTTACTCTTAGTTGCTTGCATTTTAGCATATGTAGTGTGCCATCTTGTGATTTTTTTTTTTTTAATTTAGACTACCCTGCACAAAATGTACGTTACATCTAAGCCAAATGTGGCAGTATTTCCTGCACTGATTCATCAGATGAATCAGTATGATGGCATGTTGTTTGTATTTTATATTTTGGAGTACATGTAATTTTACATGTACATGTTGTTTGTACATGGTATTTTGTAAAAAACAAAGTTTGTTTGACAATGATGTCAAGCAGTGTTATTTTGGAGTACACGTACTGACCAGTACATGTACAATGTACAAGTACAATGTGTTCATGCATGGTTCATGGTATTTTGACGATAAAATTTTGCAGCAGGGGAATGTCAAATGGACAGTTGTGTATACTTTAATTAATTTTGTTTGTTTATACTAGAATTACCAACCTGACTTTATTCTTTTGTATACGTTTACAATGTACACTTGTACTACGCTGCACAATTTGTACATGCATGTACATTTGTAAACCCACGCAAGTTACTTTACACATACTTGTACTGCACATGTACATGTACACTTTGTACAGGTAGCTGTCAACCCATTCAATTTTAGTTTCACAGTCGTAACCAGATTCTGTTGGGGGGAAATAAAACTCTTAGCTCACAAAAAAGTAAAGTAAATTGGTATAAAACTTGCATGCACTAAAAAGTGAACACACATACAACATGTACACCCACACGGCTTATGTACTGTACCTGTACAAAAAAGTACACTGCATGTAAAACATGTACATGTACATGTACATGTACCAGGGGGGATGCACTAGTTGATGTACATTTGTACTCTGGTTCACCCTGACCATGCTCTGACAAGGTTGAAGGTCAGGGTTTTGTACGTACATTTGTACAAGGTCCTCTTTGCTGTCAAGGCTCTTGTTGAACCAAATGGCAGAAACTCCCTAATACTAGACCTAATAAGTGGAATTTGCATTAAAGGGAATATACAACATTTGCAAACATCGAAAAAAAAAACTACCAAGTTTTTGCGAAATACCTTAATAGCATGTTGGTAAATGACAGCCTGAGCATCCTGTAAAATTATGGCACCTGGTATACTGTCATTTTCAAGAAAAGTGGTATTTTTGTATCAATTTCCAACGCTGATCGGCCGATCAGCGTTGGAAACAACTGGCTTTTTTTCAAATACTGGCCCCAATTGACCATTGCCCTTGTTTGCAATCGATTACAAACCTATGAACGGGTACGAGCCAGCTAGACTGGTTCCCTGACCTTACAATTCCCCAATGTATGTAAACTGCTCTGTTTCTTCTTATATGGAGTCAGGGAACCAGACTACAGGAAAATGATCGTTTTTCTTGGTTTTTATAGCATTTTCGAACCCAAAACCTCCAAAAAGTCAGTGCAACTATATTTGCTTTATATTTCCAACCCCCCAATTCCATCCAATTCCAATTCCCTTTAATGTACCCGTACATGTATGTACACACATGTGTTCTAGTTCATTTCCAATATTTATATAATATTTAATGGCTTTGGGGGGGATATACCGGTATGTATGCAACAATGTACGGTACTGCACGAGCTATAACAGTATTGCACAAATCGCTTTGTTCACTGGTTAACAACTGCGAGTTTCACTACTCTTGGTTGAGCGGGAAAACCTGGATGACTACAATTAAAAACATACAATATGCTGATTGAGATTTACCTCTTTAAAGCCTGATATACATGAACAATGATGAGTTATTTGTGTACTACTAATACATACATGTACCGGTACATGTACATGTACAAATAAATATACAGAGTGGAATTATATATGTAGACTAGTCCACTCTGTTAGATACATGAGGTTTACTTGTACACATTTATTAATACTCAAATGTTCTTAATAAGATGCTAGTGGTTTCGATTCCACCTTTTGAGAAACAAAAAAATCAAAGGTTAGTAGTCAGTACATTAATTATCATATTCATGTCGCATTAGGTGCAAACTACCGTATAAAAAGTTCTGTGCTTAAAACTTGCAATTTACACTTCTACTCAGGTTTTGAATCTGATTAAGAATTCACATGTTATATATAAAGTTTTCAATTTTACTGAATTTTCCTCATGATAATATACACGTATGTATGTGAACAGGTCACACGTTTGTTCTTGTAGTTGGTGTTCATTTGTGCCAGTGTTTAATATGTGCACAGTAAGCTGCTAATTAGTGCTTTATCTGCTACACAGGTACATGTACATGGCTTTAGCCATGTGTAAATATTGTAACCACACATGTGTATGTCTCTCAACTTAAGCCAGAAGGCCACCAAATACATGCAATGTACATGTACATGTACTGAGTGTGCAATTAAGGTCTGACCTAGGGCAATACCAACCATTTACAATGTACCTTATCTGTCTGAATACATGTTGTCAGGTTTGTTTTGAAGGGGATACAGTGCATACGGTATGTACATACATGTACCATGTTAATGCTATGCAATTTTGCACTTCCAATGTGGCAGCTCAAAAGGTCATTTTTTGTCAAAGAAGTTTATGTGTGCAAGTGTAATTTCATCTTTCTGTACTGTACATGTACGTGTGTGTAAAACTTGTGCGATACAGTACAGTACGTGTGTGACGTACGGTACATGTTTAGTGTACAATGCACCGGTACATAATATATGTAATACATTGTTATCAACTTCATTCACACTCATCATAAATACAGCCTTTGCTGTAATGTTGGTTTCTTTCTTGGGACGTGCACGTGCCCACTCACAAAGAGGGCCACTAGTGCATGTTCACCGTGACTAGCATAATGCTCGGCTACCGACTACCGGTAGCTGCATTTCTATATTTGGTGGGTGAGCTTGACTCCAGGAAGCATTATGAGAGTATTCACGTCACAAAGTATTTGTCCATTTTTAGTGTTATTTTTTTTACAACTGTTTGTTAAAAATAGGGTGACTTTGCATCGCTCTGTTTCCTTTTTGAAGATGACGTGTTGCTGCATTCATTTTACATTATAGCCCAAACTACAGAGCTGACAAGTTTGTTGGTTTATTTTGTCCTTTTTTTTTTTTGAAACAGGGTAACTGAAATGTTTACATGTACTTCTGTTTCTTCCCCATGTTTATCTACAGATCCATGCCGGGCCTAGTAAGCATAGGTGTCAAGCGCAAACACCATGCGCTGGACGAAGGTGGAGGGAGTGATGCCAAGGACTGCATCCCTGGTTGCCATGGCGACCCTCCTCCCCCGTCTCAAGACAAGTGGTCTTCCTATACTATGCAACGCAAATGCGTGATGAATGCCTCCATTTGTAAACTCCAAGCCACCTGCAACCTCATTGACCCCTCGCTGCGTCGCTCGGTGCTCATCCGCAACACCCTGTTGCACATTGACCATGAACTCCGCGCGGAGGGTCGACATCAGGACTCGTACCAACTCTCCACCTTTATAGCAAGCACGCAATCCACGTGCACGGACACCGCCGACAAGGACCGACTCCCGGGCGCCGACACGAACAGCGCCCTCAACTCGCCTAAGGACAACAACAGTAACCACTACAAAGATGTACACTCGCGTGACAGCGCCAAGCTGTTCAACGCACATCTTGAAAACAGTGGTCTCCTGAACAGAACTTCCATCCATTCATGTGCTAACTCTTCGTTGCTGTCGTTATCGACTGCAACAACGTTGTCAACGAGTATTTCAAACTCGAGTACAGGACAATCGAATGTACACATTACAACGAATACGGTGCTGCTAAATTCAGGAATTCATCCTGTGCCCTCGACGGCCAACTCGGAACTCATGAGACTTCCAGGAACCAACTCTGAGATACTGGACTTTGGCGACGAACTCTTCAGCAACATCGACATAGATCTCTACGACTTTGATACATGCATCGCCCCGCCTTTTGTGTCCAGTCATAAAGCATCTCCCGTCATGCCTCTCAGTAGCAGCAACAGCAGCTCGGAAGACTGGCTGAGGCCTGTCTCTGGGGAATACTCCTTCAGCTCTGATGTGAGCTCAACAACAACTAGCCAGGGTAACAATTGCCGTAGCGACATCACTTGCGACGAGCTCGATCAAATTATGCATGTATTAGTAGATGTGGGAATGTGAGAGAGAAAAAAATGTGCTTATATATCACAGCAAGAACATCACCAGTATGTCAATAATGAACCTCGCCAATTTTAGGTATAACAAATAAATTTGCATTATTAAAACAAATTACGTTGTTTTCAACACCATCTCTGTTCCAAAACCATGTGAACAGGGAAAGACTTATCGCCACGATTTTGAATACCTATGCAAGTTCTGCATATGATTGCAATAATTCAAGTCTGCAATGCAATACCTTGACATTTTGATAAAAGAGATATGATATTGTGCAAAAGAATGCACACCTGCAGAAAAAAAATGTAAAGTTCAGATTAGAGTCATGAATTTTTCAGTAAATAGATCTCATTAGACAGCTTGTTAGTGTTTGAGGTTTGATATCCTGGGTGTTACACTCAACAGCTTCTGGGTTTGTGACGCAGCAGTACTGCTGGAGCAACAGAACTCAGGCACCACCCATCGCACCTAGCCCCGACATCACAACTGTATGACTCAGGACTATGATCTGGCAACAACACATGCCACGCCAGTGTGTGCGATTTCTTGACCCTGCCACAGCGCATACGCACAGGTACACACATGTACCCTGCACAAAAAGAAAGAGTCTGGATGTATGCCAAGGCTTTTTGTTTTTTGACAAAGGCTGCGTGGCACACTGGTTGCATTACACGAAAATGCCACTCAAAAACCCGGCTGAAGATCTTTGAATACAATAGGGCTAACCGTTTGACCCGAAGATTGGGTTCTGTGTACTAAGTTGATCACAACAATCCACAGAGTCCTTGGGGGTTTCTTGTTGAGTAAAAAGTCGTTGGGTGTGCAGTGAAAAAGATAAAAACAGGCTACATTGCACTGATGTCAGTTGTTCCAAATGGTGCTGTACATATGTATACATGTAGGATACAAATAAAAACACAGAGGCCTTGTACTGCACTTTTTTATGCATCTATCGGTAGTGGTATAATCCCTATTCTGCATGTTTAATAACTCAATTATCTTTGATCTAATTGATTCCCTCCCATCAACCACTTCGAAGATCAGTCTTTCTGATGTTTGAATTGCTGGTGTTTCATGTACCGAATGACATACTGGTGATGTTCTGTTATGATTGGTTAATGTACGTACATGTAGGCCTACACTATACATACGTGCCACAGTTTTATGTCATCAACTCACAGTTGTTTTTAAAAGATCAATTAACCCTAACTCCCCAGTGTCTCTTACTAAGTACTGGACCAAGTCTGCCAAAATCCATCACTGACCCTGCTTCACATAATGCTTTAGGACCAAATCCGCTGAAATCCACCACAAGACTACCACTACTATAGGTGGATTTTGAGGGACTTGGTACTCGTGGCTTGCCTACCGAAATCCCCACAATGGGGGAATGGATTTTGATGGATTTGGGAAGGTTAGGGTTAAAGGTGAATCGTTGACAATGCTGTTGAGTCAAGTTTTCATATCTTTAATCTGATCAAAAAGTTTGGACTTGCTGAATGAACAACTTGACTAACAAATCAAAATGTGTCATTATCATTACGTCAAAACCTGGAAAAGGTTTAACTCAATTAACTCAAGATGAAGTGTCTTTTTTTGGATTGTTGGAAAAAAAACTTAGGTGCAACATGCAGACAAGACCACAATGTACAACATGCATTGACAACTGTACCATTCATTGCCTTTAATGACCATTGTAATTAAAGGAATATTCCTGAACGCTGGCATTTGTTTGGAAAGAAAAATGCAATGACATTTTTCTATGAAACAAAATTATCAACAATTTATCATTTTTTTTGCAAATCTGTGGTAAAACTTGATATACACTGTACGTGATTGTATAGTAAATTCATGTGTTCATGCATGTATTTGTACATGTACTGTATCATGTACATGTACATGTTCATGTTCACGTACATGTGTGTGCATGTGTAGGCCTCACATCTATGTATCTACATGTGTACGTATTGTGATCTAGAACTTATGTACGAACTGTATGTACATGATGTACATGTACATGCATGAGTAAAAGGACAAAACTTCCAAGTATTTTAACAAAGGATTTAGAGGAGCCAACAGTCATGTTGTCATGAGCATGCAGAGAGGAATGTTTGAGTGATTCTTTCAAAGAGTAATACAAAACGTTGTAAATATCTTTTAAAAAAAGTAAATGTAAGGTCATATTTTTATTACGGTATGCAACAGTATCTTCCGAGTCCCACTCAAATTGGCGACTCGCAGTCGGAAAAAAACAAATAATTTTATGAACTATAGTAAATTATGTAAGATACAGTAATATATTTCTCAGATAATTTAACTTATAAAAAATACAAATGTCTTTTTGTTTATTCTGTGTAGAAACAAGTTTGTGCTGCGGATCAAATAATAATCACTGATCAGTCTCTTACCATAACAGGATTTCAGTTTGAAGAAAAAAAAATAATCCACAAAAAAAAGAAATTGCCGGACAAATGTCCAGATAAATGCACATTTTAGTGTTCATTTTTAGAGGCAGAGCATTGTGATGAAAAGCTTGGTGATTTTGTTGTACATATCGTCAATGCAGTGCACGGACAATTTACATGGAACCGTGCATGTACTGTTATGTACATGTAGATTGTATTTTCCCATCACGTCAAGCTGAAGCCTTAAAGCCATCCATAACTGAAATCTGTGACCAAATTGACAAATTGTATTCTGATGACGTATATATTACGAAAAACTTAACGAACAAATTAACGTACCTAAATTTTATCAATTCAGACTGTGTCAAAGTGTCTGAATATTTTATACAGAAATGGCTGCATATCGGAAAGAGGTTGAAGGAAATGTTGAAGGTTGTTCTTTTTTTTTTTAAATTCCTTGATTTCTGAGAAAGCAAAAGTAACAATGACTTTTTATACTTCTAACCCACCACAAAAAAAGTTAAACTTAAAAATATGCAATACAGCATTTTATATCTAAAGGCTACGAATAAACTGACTTTTTTATTTTTAATTTACAGACTTCAATACCTTTCAATTATAAAACTTTTCTTTACAACATGTGAACATTAGTTTGAGACTTCCTTATAGTTTTTGTCTCAATTGTGAGCACAAATGCATTCCTTCCTTATCAATTACTAATGCACAATTGCACGTTTAGCTATTCTGATTTTGGCACAAGGAAAAAGCACAAAAATCTTTTCTGACAAAACAGTGATAGTAGGAAGTAAATAAAACTGATTTTCTGCTTTGAAACATCTGAAGCTACCTATGTGAGCATTGGTCGGGGAAGTCAAATTCAGTCTACTTGAATTTAAGCTCTTTTCCAGTGCTCCTTTGGTTCTTCCTTTGAACCATAAAGGCAAAAATTCACAAGTTTCTCTCTTTCGCCTGTGACAAAACTCACCGTGTGAATATTTGTGGATCGTGTTTACTATACACGTGCACCATTACCGGATCAACATTTCACATGCTTTGAAAATTTGTCACAAAACTCACATACAGATTGTATTCAGGACAGAAGCATCTAGAATGAAATGTAGCTGATCACTTTTAAAAAGCAGTTTGAAAATTGCTGACGTTCAATCTTCCAACCAAATGAACCAATGACTTTCAAATCCGTTCATTTAAAAAAAAAATTTTTATCTTGTTTTAGCATTCATGCACATTCATTAAATATTACAAGTGCAAACAAAAGTTTCATAAACAGCAGACAAATCAAATATAAGTAAGTGATGGATACATTTCTTTCAAAATTGTATCAATTTGTCATTATCTGGAGGGGGATTTAGCACTCCTTTTCCCGTCCTCGCAACTCGACAAGGAAGAAGCAATCATATTTTTTTTCTTCAGGAATTGAGGGACTTGTGACCCCAGAGTTAGCTGGCTTCCGCTTGTTGTCACCCCTCAAACTAAGCCCGAGGAAATTGGAATTGGCATGGCAACCTGTACACCGCTAAGCTTATTGAATACCCAAGCTTCAGAGGGTTTTTCCTGCCTTAAAACCCAGTCTGAATGTAGTTCCCTTTTGGGATCGTTATAAAGTTGGTAAATTATTTCACGTTATGACTTCCTCTATCGCGGCAATTTCATCAACAAACTTGTAGTTTTTATTTTACGTCGTCGTCACAATTTTTTGGAATTCCAAGGTGCTTTTCCTTTTTCCCAGCTTCCAATTATGGGTGAACATTGTTGCTTTTCCTTTTTCCCAGCTTCCAATTATGGGTGAACATTGTTGTAGTACTTGTCGTGTCTAGTTCTTCGTCTCATCAAGGAAGAAAAGATGAATTCGTATGAAATAGTTGTTCTCCAAAAGTTCCAATTGTAGTTGTACATATGTGTTGATTTTTAAAACCAGTGACAATTCATGTATAGATTTTCAGATAACTAACTTTTAATTTGTTTTTACCTAGGAAAAAAAACGGGTTGAGCACAATATTTTTTTTTTCTAAGACTGAAGACAAATCAGTGAATAAGTGCCTGGGAAATCTGCTCCAACTCCAAGTTAGTTTCCCCGGTGACCTTTTTGACCTGAAGGAATGTTTAGACATTCTTAGCCAATGACCAACACACAGACACACATGCAGAATTTACCCTGCATGTATGTACATGTACTTAACAATTTACACACAAGGGTTCGCACATTAAAAATTCATGGACCATAAACCCTCACCTCGCACTGAACTGTCAGAAGACTTGTTATACAATATACACATGAAGTGTATTGAATTAACAGACGGCTACTGTAACTGTACCTGTGTGTAAATTATGAAAAGAAAAGAAATAAATCATCCACTCCATTAACATGCAGAAAAATGCAGGTGCACACCACTTGGTATTCTATGCAAATTGTGTTGGAGCAGTTTCTCCCCGGTACATTGTATTTCATGAGGTCAACATGCTGATTGCCGTTTCACATATGAACTTCAAATCCTGTCTTTTAATTGATTATATAAATTCCCCTTTATCAATATTAACGGCTTTCATTGCTGTTTATTTCTGTTGAAGGGGGATACAGATTAGTTGTGGTCAGTCACTGTGATTGGGATTCGGCTGAATTTAATCAACTCCTTTGGCTTAGTAGTATAAATTCATACGCAGTGCCTGCCATTGCTCCAGGCCTCCTAATTATAATTTATGTGTGTGGACCTGTCCACGCACTGTGCATACATTTGCCTGTGGGCTGTGCCGTTGAGTGGCTTGACTAGCACAGGTTTTGCACAGTACCTGGAAAATTGCGCATCGTGTTGGTTGGAGGTGGTGGGGCAAGCAAGGCTGAATTCTTAGAATTGAATCTGGCTTTGTATTACAATCAGAAAAATCCTTACATTTTTGTCACATTTGCATATTCCAAACTATTTTGATGACCACTGATGATTTTTACCCCTCAGCCGAGAGGCTCGAGGGGTATTGTCATCGCCTAGGGCGTCCGTCCGTCCGGATGTATGTCCGTCCGTCCGTCCGTCCGTCCGGGTAGCTTGGTTTCCGGATGATAACTTGAGTTTAAAATGTCGTTTGGGGTTGTAACTTCGGTAGGGGGTTGCCCTTGGGAGTAGGCAAGTTGGGATTGGTTTTGAGGTCAAAAGGTCAAAGGTCAAGGTCACCGTGGTGAGTTAAAGGTAAATGGTTTCCGGATGATAACTTGAGTTAGAAATGATATTTTGGTGTCTAACTTTGGTAGAGGGTTGCCCTTGGGAGTAGGCAAGTTGGGATTGGTTTTGGGGTCAAAAGGTCAAAGGTCAAGGTCACCATGGTGAGTTAAAGGTAAATGGTTTCCGGATGATAACTTGAGTTAGAAATGAGATTTTGGTGTCTAACTTTGGTACAGGGTTACCCTTGGGAGTAGGCAAGTTGGGATTGGTTTTGAGGTCAAAAGGTCAAAGGTCAAGGTCACCGTGGTGAGTTAAAGGTAAATGGTTTCCTGATGATAACTTGAGTTAGAAATGAGATTTTGGTGTCTAACTTTGGTAGAGGGTTGCCCTTGGTGTTAGGCAAGTTGGGATTGGTTTTGGGGTCAAAAGGTCAAAGGTCAAGGTCACCATGGTGAGTTAAAGATAAATGGTTACAGGATGATAATTGAGTTAGAAATGAGATTTTGGGGTCTAACTTTTGTAGAGGGTTACTCTTGGGAGTAGGCAAGTTGGGATTGGTTTTGGGGTCACAAGGTCAAAGGTCAAGGTCAGCATGGTGAATTCAAGGTAAATGGTTTCCGGATGATAACTTGAGTTAGAAATAAGATTTTTATGTCTAACTTTGGTAGGGTGTTGCCCTTGGGAGTAGGCAAGTTGGGATTGGTTTTGGGGTCAAAAGGTCAAAGGTCAAGGTCACCGTGGTGAGTTAAATGTTAATGGTTCCCGGATGATAACCTGACTCTGGCTGAGGGGTTTCAACAGCAACGCTGTTATTTTTTTTTCTTAACGTACTCTTACCAGTGGTATATGAGCTGGTATTACTACCATGGGTGTGCCAATTGCCAAAAATTCTAATAATATGTTCAACAACAGACTCTGAAGTTAAACCGGGGGTGGGGGGATCAATACTGGAATGTTTTGTTACTGACACACTACGGTGGAAATCTGCATACCCATAAATTGAATTCCTGCAGAGTTGGCCTTGAAAATGCGACTAATCGCAAAGATCAGTGCGAACACAGACATGGCAATACGGTGCATCAAACAATACAGAGCTGAAATATTGATAATGAGATCCCCCTTCAACATACATTAAAAAAAATGAAAGTTATTCTCTTTACATTGTTAAGTCGACAGGTCATGATTGTTTTTTTTGGGGGGGGGAGGGGGGTTCTTTTTTTTAATCGATATACTTCAATGTATTTTATTTGAGAAGTTCCTAAGAATACATGAAATGTTACCTTCAATGTGTTATTGGTATTGATGTTTGTGATACCGGTATGCAAGGTTCGCATACAAACATGTACAAGTATGTAATGATACTTCTTTTGAAAAAGTCATCCAAATATGTGTTTTCCTGTTATTTATTGTAAAAAAAAGGCTGCAGGTTGAATCTTTGTTTGTGTTTGTTCGTAATGTAATTGGTTAGGGGTTAAAGGGAGGGGCATGGCATGCCGTGCTGATGCCGACTTGAGATTTTTGCCCTTTCTCAGGGAAAATTTCTGCTTCTCCCTTTCCTTCGTCCCTGACACGTTCCATGAATTACAAACTTGTGATTTAATAGATACAACTTTTAAAGAAAACTCTTCTGTACAGTTCTGTAGGACATATTTTCTACGTTGTTTCCACTTCTTTTTTTTGTACAACTGATGCCATTTTTGATGACTATTTATCGTCCAATTAATTTATGATTCCCCGCTTTAAAAAAGAATTTTAAAATCCAATCGTTAATTTATTTTGTTAAAGGCTACAGTGCTTTTTATGTGTAAATTATTTTAATGTAAATACGATGTTGGTGTTTCTTTTAGCAATTTTGATAGCTGCTACTTATTTTGTATTTATAAATGTTTGTGTGAGAAAAGAACAAGTGCTGAACAGTTGCTGAAGGGATGGACAAGTGACTTTGTTGTTGATTTGTAAACTGCACACATACTAGTGTATTTTGTTAGGAAGTGCTGAATAAGGGTCTGTTAGGTAGCCGAAGGCACATTGTCAAGATTGTACACAGAAGACAGTGTTGTGCTTTGGGGGCTAGTTCACTGTGTGTGGAGCAGCCAGCAACAACAGGCTTTTCATAATGACCTTGCCTGTGACATACTTGACCTTTGCCCTCTACAGTCAATTCGTTTGACCCTGACCTGTGTGCATTTACACATTTTGAGCGTGGTATCTCATGAAAAAAAAAAAATCAGAAGCACACAGTGAAGCAATCAGTCTGTGCATATGTACCTACACATTGTAACTCAACAAAAGATAAGCTGATGTCATAAAAATAAAAATTCTGATGACGCAAACTATCCCACTGTGCAGGGCAGTATACTTTTCCTTGTGTGCACTTTTGGTCTATCCTAGGGATTCCGGTATAATCAGTCCTTACATATGTGCATGCTTGCCTTTTCCTTGAATGCAAAAACAGAGTGAATTCACAGAATTGGTAGATGCCAATATTATATCGAAGGTTGTGGGACCACAGTTTCCATGATGCATTACGATGAAAATCCCTGGAGTCGACCCATAGTCATTTCCATGAATTTGCCAAGGGGAACTCAGTACAAGCATGGAGGACTATTCCTTCCTCCATGGTACAAGGGAAATCAATATACTGCTCCACACACCCGGCACATCAGAAGGGGAGATCTGTACATGCCATGAAGAGTTCAGAGATTTCTAGTAATTGCTATTGCTGAATCATGGATCGGAGGTGTTGCCTAACACAGTTTACTCACGAAATGTGCAACATTCCCTAAAATGATATGGTAAACGTGGGTTTGCGCACGTATGCTTGCCAATTGTACATGTTACTTTATTTACAAGTACAATACTATGTACATGTTTGTACAACATGGAGAGTGTCTGTTGTTTGAGTTGGTGTATGATTTTGAGAGTAGAAAACCCACTGGATGGGATTTCTTATCAGAAAATAATGAGGTTGATGTTAGGGGCATAGATGAAGTGCATCAACGACTACTGGTCTTTTGTTAACATGGCAGTGGACACAAATGATGGGA